AAAATTTCAGTTGATAATTATACTCTCTCAGTAAAATTCATAATGCTGTCAAGTTTTTTTGAAGATAAAACTCACCGCCATTGTCAGAATTTTCACATACACAATGTTTGATCTTATATTTTTAATTTTGAAACAATAGTTTTTATTTCATGTTTGCACGATGAATATAATATTAATATGATTTTGTTTCCACCGAATACCTTAAAATAACAACAATCTGTTGTTTGCTCAAATTTGACAGCTTCACTGCGAGGGTAAAACACAATAAACAAACACCGTGTTGGTAATTGCAATACTTTTTATAGAAATGAATAAGCAAATAACGGAAATGCTTATTTATTCATAACTTCCAGTGTGTAAAACCACAACCCGTATGTGTAGCGTACGTTGATGCCGTTCTGACGACATGTTTATTGATAAAAGTAAAGTCGGCAATCAATATTCTGATGGGAAACATTGATAATTAGCTGAAGTTCGTTTCTTGGCCATAATACCATAAAATGAACAACATTATTCTGTAGATGTTTGGTGGAAAGCTGCTCTGCTAGCAGAATTAATTAGGAAATGACTGAGTGTGACGTCTTCTGGTTACCTACGCAATTTTAAGCTCATTTAAAATTTCCATTTTATTGATGTTATTTACTTGTGTCGTGTTTAAGACAGATTTAACTGAAATTAAATTTTCATTGACGTTATTTCTACTTCATTAATAATAAACTTTAAAATTAAAATCATTAATTCAAATGTTAACGCCCTGGTTGGTGAGAATCGGCTAACAGTGATATTTAAAAAAAGTATAAATAATGTCTACGAAGAAATTAAAGCGGGAAGGATCATATATATATTTTATCGATTAAAATTCTCAATCGGTATATGTACATAAACTGTTTTCCAGTAGCAATAACATTCGCTAATATTTATTTACACAAGATAATAGATTAATATCTAAATTAATTTTGTTGGCATTTGCCGGAAAATTATATTAATTTCAAACCGGTTACACGTAGTTTGTCCAAAATTATTGAATTTCCCTTACTTTGACTTCACGCGTTATTTTGTTGGTTCAGTTATATTCGAATCGTTTCTGGGAGTTTTCAAAAATTATCGTTGGTAATGTGCACTCCCTCAGAATCAGCTCGAAACATTTCGATGACGGTTCTTGGTTCCGTAGTACCTGAAGTAGTCGACAGACTCATAGTGACATGACAATACTGCCAACATCCATACTTGTCAAATTTCCATCCATTTCGTCTGTTTGAGGATACTCAGCTGCCAGATTTTTCGTTTCAGGTTGGAAAGCTATCTCGCATGACCTCTTCATTTTCGTCTGAGTATTAGTGGGCTCATCCATAATTTCCTCGTTCCAAGGTCCATCGTCTAACTGCATCCAGAATATCGCCTTCTGCATCGCTATAATTTTGCTGAATAAATCTTATCTAAAATGTACAAAATATGATGAGTCTCTTCTTGTGATGTATCATTCCATTCATATTTTTTGGATATGCATATACAGGATGACCCAAAAAAATAATGAATGCGTGAATGTATTTTATTGATACTACAGAACTGAATGCTTTGAGATTTTGCAAATGTTTTAAGGCTTTAAAGAGCATATTAAATTTTTAGTCAAAATATATTTGCTTATCTCCTCCAAATAATTGATGACGTCAGCTCAAAATTTTGCCGAATAATCCTATCTAATATGTACAAAATATGATGAGTCTCTTCTTGTAATTTATCATTCCATTCATGTTTTTTGGATTTGGATATACAGGGTGACTCAAAAAATTTAATGAATGCGCAAATTTATTTTATTGATTTAATCAAGAACAACAAAACCGAATGCTTTGAAATTTAATGCGAAAAAAAAGATAAATAGGCGTGCAGTCGTCACGTCTCCGACAGCGAGGGAAGTACTGTCTAAACTCTTTAGACCAATTTTTTTAACAATACTGTATATAACAATGGATCCAGGACTGTGATCTCTAAGTTGTGAACGCCTCTTCTCATATTCCTTTTGAGCTCTTTCCCTTGTTTCCAACTCGTGTTTCTCGGCATCTTCGTCTTCTAGTATAGGGCAAATCTGTTTAATCTTGTGAGCTGGAGACACATGTGCTACCATGTTGAAAGCCGCTTCCCCTTCAGCTTCTTCGAAACTCGACTTTTCGCTAGAAGTGCTGCTGGACTTTCCATGAGAATCACGTTTTTCCAGTTGCTCTTTATAAAGATGTAAATCCGGTGTTTCTGATTTCTTTTTAGCTTCCTGAGCTCTTGCTAAGGCGGATGTGTATTCTTGTTCGAGTTCCCCAACACTTGCTTGGGTCTCTGAGCTAAATTCCGGAGTGTCGTCTTTGATTTCTTCTTCGGTTTCGTGATATTTACCCTCACGAATGTCGCGGTGAAAACCTTGATCTGCTTCCGTTTCATAACTTTTCTCTCTTTCGCGTTCATCGATATCTTTCTTTTCGTCGCTGATGACTTTCTTAAAACCCAGCTCCGGCGTGTATTTGTCGCCTTCTGTTAGGTCGGAGTGAAATTTCTGATCGAAACTACTTAAAACTGGTGGAACAAACGAACTAGTGCTCTCCTGTCGTCTGTGAGTTTTCTTTTTGGTTTCAGGAGGATATTTTCCATTCATTAGTGGATCTTCGGTTTTGATAGCACGGTCCTCTTCAGGAGTATGCTGAAGTCACCTGTGTACTCTCACTTCTGATCCCACTTTCGTGTACTATCGATGTAGTGAACGTAATTGATTCGATTTGTAAATTACCTTCGGTTTGTCCAGTTGACGTACCAGTTTCAGTAGTTCCTAGGGGTGCGGTAGGATGGAATACTAAACTGTCACAGCTTCCTTCAATACTCAACTGATCAGAAATTCCAGAAACGGACATACTGCCACCATCCATTCTCTCAGAATCAGCTCGAGACAATTCGATGACGGTTCTTGGTTCGGTGGCACCAGGAGTACTCGACAAACTCATACTGACAATGCTACCATCATCCATATTTGTGAACTTTTGATCCATTTTGTCAGCTTGAGGCGACTCCGCTGCCAGAATTTTCGGTTCGGGTTGGAATGTCATCTCGTAGGACCTCTCATTTTCGTCTGAGTATCCGTGGGCTCGTGAATAATTTCCTCGTTCCAAGGTCCATCGTCTAACTGATCAACTGCATCCAGCATATCGCCTTCTGCATCGCTAGCCGAAGGTACGAAAGCTTCTGACAGTTCGGAGACTTCTACGCTTCCAAGATGCCCGGAACTCTCACTGTCCAAACTTTTCATGCTTTCTTTGGAACTCAAACTACTCACTGCTGTATGATATTCGGTAGAGGTAATGTGCGAACTGCTTGAGTAATCTTGGGAAGTCAACGCACTGTCGTATTCAGAAGTTCCAGCTGCCACAAGTCTCTCTACATCGGAAGAACAAGGGCGACTTTTTCCACTGTCGAGTTCAAAACTGTGGTAGTGACTTTCACCGGAACTTGAGTAGGCCTCGAAGTCGATACCCGATTTTCGATCACCTTTACGTCCTGAGGAACACGTCGAGAATTGATCCTCTGGAGATTTCCCGGATTCGACGTTCTACTTAGATTCGCTGCTAGAAGTTCGTTTGATTTCTTCGTGTTTTTCGATTACTGTTTTGACCTCATCTAATTCGGCGGGTAGTAAAGATGGATCTATATCAATAACTTCGATTTTCTCTTTAATTTCAGTAACCGTAGATAATTCGTGAATGACGTACGTCGAGGTTACTTTGCTACTAATCTTGCTTTCTTTAACAACACTATCTTCGTCTTTGAGCGTAAGTACTTCGGTTTCTTGGTCGATTACTTCTTTTTGTATAGTTGTGGTACGTGATTTTTCAAGTGCTTCTTCTTTCACCACAGCGACACCATCAACTTGTTTAGTTTCACTTGTAACTTCTTTTTTTATTGTATCTTCTTTCGACAAATAATCTTCACAGGTGATTTCTCCTTTTAGTTTTACTTCATCAGTAGGTGACTTTTCAGTCATGTTGACGCGGTGCTTGATGATCGATTGGGTTATGTCTCTTTCGTGGGTAGCATCTTCGATTTTTCGTTTATGCACGTCTTCGCCTTCTGTTTCAACGATTTTAGTAGTAATGTCAGTAGTTTTTTCCTTACTGACATCGACACTGGTTTCTCTATATTCGTCGACCTCTATGTCTTTGACTTTCTTGTGCCAAATTTCAGACGTCACGGCCTCAACACGAGTCTCCAGTTGTTTGCTTTCTTGACCATCAGATTCCGAGATTGTTTCATCTTCCTCGATTATTATGTCCTTGGCTTCGGATTTTTCGCCTTTGATACTTTCAAACGTTATAGTATGTACTTCACTTTTCAATCCTGTCGTGATACCACCTTCCACTCTTTCGTAGTCCTTTCTTAAGCGTGTCTTTTCGGTATGTTTCTCGTCAATTATATCCCATAACGTCATCGACTTGATATCGTCCAACTTTTCAGCTTTAAGCTGACTTATCTGTTGTTCAAGAACATGTGTGGTGTCTCCTTCCGTGCCACTGTACTTCAAGTCCTCGTCTGTGATTTCAATACTGGATGCTTGAGTATCATCACGTGACAACTTGGCGAGTTCGCGTTGACGCCTTGCCAAAACTGATTCAACTAGCTCTACCTCTCTTTCATCTAATCCCTTCGTTTCAGCTAAGTATTTCAAATAATCCGACACACCTCTCCTGACGTGGTGGCGGGTGGCAAACACTCGCGTCTTTGTATTTCGGATTCGATTTCTTCAATCAAAGCACTTGCGATTGATTTCGCTTCAACCGGATCAACCTTTTGATGTTGAAGGCTATCCATGATGATCCTTTCAATATCGCTGTGACTTTCCGATTTGATTTTATCAGAGGCGTAAGAATCAGAATGATCTTGATGTACTTCCGATCTTAAATCAGATTCATCCCCAGTGCTCGAACTCAAATCTTCGTCAATTTTTTCGACAGGTACTCCATCAAACGAAGTCATTTCTCGTCAAAATGAGCTTCCGGTTGGGATTGAACCGATACTTCCAAAACGGTGTCCTCGACGTGCTCTTCAGGAACGTGTATGGGTGAATCCAATTCTGTTTTCTTGTCTGACTTTGGTGCATACTCATCACTTTCCTCACTAATGCGTCTTTGTTTCCCGGACAGAGTTACAGTGATTTCGGGTATACTATCATCCATGAAAGTCGCCGACTTCGGTGGCATCTCTGCGTTTAGAGAATCTAAAGATTTTGTTTCGAGATCGGTGGCGTCTTGGTCTAAATCGGCAAGTTTTTCTGAATCCTCTATTTCGCTCTTGTCTACGTGTACTTCCATAGCATCTGGTTTTAAAGTACTTCCGTTCCTCGTCGCCCTGTCAATATCCGACGAGGAACTCTGTTCTGAACCTAAAGAGGACCGTTTGGTTTGAGCATCAGCATCGATTTCTTTGTGCGTTTCTTGGAATTGTTGTGAAATCGGTGTTTCATCCTCAATGTGCGTTATAGTCTTTTCGGGTTTGTGCGCTTGACGGTGATCTTCAAAAGAGACTTCCTTCTTCGTTGCCTCATCGAAGGATCTCGCTATATCTAAAACGGGCACTTTCTCTTCGCTAATTTGCTGGACCAAGGAGCCGATCAACGTTTTGCGTTCAGGTGAGGGCTCCTCTTCGATTTCGCTCGTTAGCTGCTCTTCGATCATTTCCTTCTTGATCTGTTCTTCGTAATACTGTTTCCGTAATTTGATGCTTCGTGCTGAAACTTCGTACATATCCTCAGTAGGCAACGAAGCAGATCTTTCGTAGATGGTTTTACGAGCTGCCGCTACAGGTGGCGCGAAAACGCTCATCTGTCTTTCCCTAATTTGTGGGACACGATCTTCGATTTCGGAATCGGAAATATAGTGGTCCACATCTCCGCTGTCCGAAATGTAACCGGCGTTCTCGTTGGTACCACTGTGAGCGAGATTGTCCGATTCCGAATCGGTACTTTCTTTGTCTGATTCGACTTTGGGCGGTGATTTAGATTTGCGTTCGCTCGGCGGCTGGAATGAGGCTTGGTATTCCGACATGATTTTGGTTTCTGGCTCCTCATCTATTTTGGACGGTGCCGCCTCCTCTATGCTTGGCGTAACTTGTACTTGAGAACGGGGTTTCGGAATAGGAACTTCGTGCACCGAAATCCTCTTCTTCACCAAGTCCTTCTCAGGAGGTGGTCCTTCGTGCAAACTCATTCGTCTGTCTTTGGTCACGTTCTCCCAGAACTTTTTCTTGTCGGAATAAGTCTCGGGTACCGCCGGCTCTTCCTCATCGAGTAAATCGTCCGTGACAGGTGAAATTTGTTTTTCGAGTTTGGGTTGTCCTTCTTCGAATTGTAGCGGTGGTGTTTCTTTGACAAAGCGGGGTTTGGGTTGGGGTATTGTTTTTATTTCTTCGGTTAATGTTGGTTCACAGGTGGGTTTTAAACAGAGGCGGTTAGATGCTAGCGGGGACTAGCAATACAAGGAGGTTTAGTACTATTACGGTTGGTAATTTTTAGCTTTGGTCACATTGACAGGCAGGTAGGTATCTTTCGGACTTTTACTGGGGCCGCACGTACTTACCGTTTACTCATCGCTCGGTTGAATTAACTTAACAAAATCAAAAGAAAAATGAAAATTACACTAACAAAACATAACAAAAAAGAACATATGAAAGCCAAAGATGCTTGTGCTACGGCGTGTCACTTCGCTAAGACCTTTTGGATGCAAGGTAATCTAAACCCATGGAGGAATTTTTGGTGAGTAACGTTAAGCAAGGGATTTGGATTACCTTGTACGTCTACTCATGCAAAAGAAAATCAAACATATCGGGCCCCGCCTCTGTCGGGTCTACCGTAACCCCGTGCGTCTCTCCCTTTGCATACCTCGATGTTCAAATTTTCCTCCAAGTGTCGCCCGGTTTTTACCCGCTCTTTAGTAATAGGTATGGTTCGAACTGCTAAGCTAGTTTTGCCGCACGGTTGGGAAAAATTCGCGTTCGAACTAGCAACGCTAACTGTGTCGACCGAGGATTCGTCCATGCGATTTGACTTATCGAATCAATCGAGGACGGCATTAATGATTTCGCCTCTGGACAGATCCGAACTTGAAGACGCGGTACTCCGTAAAGAAGCCGTACTACCGTGCTGATTAGGGAGCCTTTCAGGGAGGTCCTTTTTAAATCAGGGAGACTACCCCTGTAGAATTCTTTGGGGGGACTCGTTTTTTCCTAGAAATCTAATGAACCAGGCACAGGATGCATCAGAAATAAAATAAAAAGGATTGAGAAATGACATTTGTACGAAAAATTTTCTCATAGAATGTAAACCGGTAAAACCGGGGATTGCACTCAATAAGGACCTACATTTGACCCGTTTGTCACTAAACCATTCAACTGTTGGCTCGATCGAAACTAAAACTCTTTGTTGTTTTATCATTAATATTTAAAATGTAAAATATATTATTCGAAACTTTTACTTCTAGTGCAAACAAGTGTAGCGTGTGTTAATAAACGTGTGTCCGGAAATTGGACCCATTCTATTCAACCCTCGAAACACTGAAACATAGTAGGAAAGATTTTTTTCGCGGCATGGTGTTCTCGGTAGGGGTCTTACAAATAATACAGATTAATGAAGCCCATTTGAATCACAATAGCTAACATATCAACGGAAATTCCCAATAATTTTACAGAACAGATAAAACGACTATATAATGATGTCTTTAAAATACATATGTAGAGCTAAATATAAATGAAGATCTTATCTACAGAACTTCGGAAAGTGGTCAGTTTACTTAAAAATTCATTCAATATTTTAACTCGTTTTAGTTGATTTCTGGTGAAAGAATATTTAACGTCTCGACTCACGATGATTAATTATGAAATGGAATTATCAGGAAAGACCCTGATTTTAAAATAATTAAAAAGCATTTATTGAATAGCTTACGTAGAGCATACATTTTATAGAAATTAGATAAACTGATACATTAGCTTTAGACTACAATTATATCAAGTTCGAATATTATACGTAGGGGAAGAGAGCCCAAAGCGGGCACCATAAAGAAAAATATAAAAAAAAATAGTTTATGGATAATCTAGATCCTTTAAATTTTTATATTATAATGCTTGATTTAACCCTTTTCAATGATGCATAACTAAAATCGAGGAAAGTTTATTAAAAAAAAAGTTAGAAGCAGATAACTAAATCTTTACAACTGCCCGCTTTGCCCTACGGGGAGGCCTAAAGCGGGCATTCAGCTAGGGCAAACCGGCAATTTAAGGCTGGCAAACAACATCTAAACTCAAAATGATGCGACAAGTGGCAGTTAACTGCTACCTTATGGCAGCTGGATAAACACAAATTGACTAACGAATTTCATTTTTAGCTTAAAAATCACAAACATAGAAAAAACAGATGTGACACACTTTGCAATATTTTTCAAAATCATGTGAAAATTATTTATTTATCACAGCACATAATTGGGTACTCGCAGGAAACTCGGGCGACTGATGTGAAGTATGCGGGGGGGGGGATGCATTATGTCCGCGCGGTTAGGGCGCACCATCTTTTGAAACGCCAAAACTAAAGAGAGTGCCCGCTTTGGGCTCTATGCCCGCTTTAGGCCCCCTTCCCCTAACACTTAAAAGTTATGACCCAGTTACATTCCAACAAAAAGAAACTCTTAATTTAAACCAGTAAACATTCGTGGGCCACTTTTTTCTTACATTGTGATTGGTACTAACTATATTGTTTTTTTTTTTTCTAAAATACTGTAACAATGAAGCTAAAACAGTGTGATTTGATTTCTGAACCGGCAGAATTTAGCGTTGAATTAAAACTGGCATTCAGTTAACTACTTTGAAGTCATAGATATTCCCTTTTTCCCTTTATCTTAACCAGAACAAAATTGCTTCATTTTACCGACAGCCGCATAGCGTGCGTCAAATCAGAATTACATGCAACATTCGCTGGATTTAATAATGGTATTGAATTACTTATATTTCCATAAAAATAATTCTCAAGCTATCTCCATCACATTTTACTTCCCACTAATCAATACAAAAACCCTCTTCGCAGCCGAGAATATCTTTTTGTTATAGTCATCATAATTTTTAGTGCCAAAATGACTGATGATGTCTCTCCATAAATGCACCGTAAGTTTTGTTTTACGTAGCCTTTTTTCCTTCATCACTTAATCATGTAGGGCATGAAAAGGCTGTCAGTTTCGAAAGTAAGACTAATTTTTAATTCTCGTTGCGTTCCCTCAAATTCCCCTCATAGAACGAAGGGCGTCGTAAACAATATTCTTTATTCGTTGCATGGAATATGAGAGAGGAAATGAGACTGAAAAATAGTGCAAACACGTTGTAATAAATGTAGCAAGACGGCAGTACAAGCAAAATATTATTAATTCAGCGACACTCTGAATTTTCGAGGGTCAATTCCGACAATGGAACTTTTTTCCCTCACGATCGTTAAATATTCATTTTTGTTAAAAAGAGGATATTCCGCTGCGTAATGAAGGACTTCCTGGACGTTGAAAGTACACTGGGGAAATGTTGCACATAAATCACTATTTGAGGGGACTTTATTCTCATGAAAATGTTGTTGGGAGGTTAGTGCTGCGCTTGTGAGGGGTTTAAAAATCTGAAGGAAATTTTCCGAGAGAATTTTGTTTAAAAGTGTAAAAGGTAACGAGCTGAAAATTTGTTTAGATTCTGTTGCAGCCAGAAAGTTACGTTAATGTGTAACATTGTGGTCATTATTTTTATCGTAAAGCTGAAATCTTCTGGAACATATCGTTGTCTCAGGAGTCTTTGTAACATTTAATTAAAAGTTAACATCAGCACTCACCACACTGTAAATTGTTGGTCTACGCATGTGCTATAATGTTGTTAGTTGAACATAAATAGTTAATGCGTGAATCTGCATTATACCTGTGTTTTTTAAAAAATGGTTCAATTTTGTCCAGATTACTGTTTACTGCGTCCATATTTTCCGTTTGAACCATATTAATAAATAATTTGTTGACTTACATTTACTGTACGCCTTCGAATAAACAATTACGCGTTATTGTGGTGTGCCCTCAAAAACAAACTGATTCGCAGAAGGCTGTAAACTTTTTAATTAGATATCAGATGGATCAATTGTTTTAAAGTCTCATTTTACACAAATAACTAAGCAATTTTTTTAAAGTATGTAGTAGTTTTCCTCATATGTAGGCAACGTTAGAAATGTCAAGATGTTAGAAAATCATAAATATTATATGTCAGGAATGATATAAAACTGTTTCGGATCGATAGTGGCACAAAATTTCAGGCATCCTTTAATATGCGTAGTTTGAAAGTTTAACGGTCTTACCGTCTTTCGTTAATCACTTCCTAAGAATTAAAGTCAGAATATTCGTTATTTCAGGGATAAATTACTTAATTTAGTTTACATATCAAATCTTCATTATGTAGATTTTCAAGCTGTAAGTAATTCTGAACAGCCTCAGCAAGTATTTTTTGCTATTTTAAATAAATAAAATTGTTTACTGCTTGTAATTAGATTTTATGTTTTGTATTTATTTGTAACTGTTTCTTTGTATATGCAAATATCATTTATTTTATGATAACCCCTAAGAATTAAAAAAATTGGTTTAAAGGTGAACAGGACTTCCTTCGCACCTGAAGACAAGTTTTCAAAGAAATTCAATATGTCGACAAGGATGGGATCGAACTAATACGAGCAGAACTCAAGTTCTCTAAAAAATCTACACGTCTACCGACAGTCGTTATGCACCAGACGCAAATATCAGCTATGCGCACAAAATTTTTTATAATTTTGATCAAAATCAAGGCACACTCATAAACGATAAATATACGAGTATGTTCTGTTATAAAGTGTAAATATGAGTTACTATGAAAAAAAGAGTTGACGTCATTTAATTGTTGGTGGAGATGATTAGATAAATTTTGGTTAGCACGATATTCTTAAATAAATGAGTCAATTTATTTTATTGATTAAATCAAGAACGGCTCACTTCATTTTCGCGAAATTATGGCAATACAGTACAGTATTGCATATCTTTATTTAAACTTATAGGGTTCGTAAAATTCGCAAAATCAAATTTTGTAAGTTTTCGAAAAACTAGTTGTTTTATTGTACTTAAGGGGTGAGGGAATAATAATGGGAGAAAAGAATAAATGGACAATAAAATTCCTCCAGTGAACTTATTAACTAATAAAAAAACAATTATCTTTTATTATTATATCCTGTTTATCTTTTTTTTTGAAATCAGAAGTTTAATTAAATGTGGAAACAAAAATGGATTAATTCAAGAATCGAAAAATTTTGCATATACCGGGTGTCTAGAAAATGGAGGATTAACTCTTCAGTACGTTATGTACGGGGGTTTCAGAAGTCTCAAAAAATAATATTTTTTTATGATGCACAGTACGAAAAAATCGTAATTTTATAAAAGTAAAATTGGCAACACTGTACGCATTTAATGCGTGAATACCTCCGACTTAATTTCTGAATTCTTAGTAAAGATGGTGACTGAAATCCACCTTTTATTTTTTTTAGGACAATAACCATAACAACCAGTCGTC